TGGTCCTGTGCCTGTGCCGTACTACCGTCCCATCGGACTATGAGAGTGTTAGAATAGAGAGTGCACCTGTGTTCACACACACACTCGGGCACTATAATTCTGTTCTTTCGAGCACTATAATCGCAGAATTTTATACGTGGTAGAGCCATGCTGCTGCTATATTAATAGTATAGTTGTAGCACGAAGGGGTCCGCTCGACCGGGGAAAGACCACGCTCTCACGGAATACTAGCGTAAAATAGCAGCTTAATTCTGCTGTGTTTCGTATGATAAGTGTTGAGAACCGGAGAACCTTTTTACTGGAATGGAGGCATTCTATCTTAGTCCTCACGGCTGACAACGCATCTGCATTTTATTTCGCAAACGAAGATAGATCTAGATGTCTATGGGCCGCAGCAACAACTTACCATCAGGTGGAGTGTGTGCTCGTTTGTCACCCTTATCCTATAAAAAAAGAAGGCTAATCTCCGTTGACAATGGCCACCGTGACCGAAATTCGGTCTGGAGGACATTATTTCTAAAACACAATATATTTTAAGGTATATTGGCAGGTAATGCCATGCCCTTAAAGCCTTAAACATTCCAACCTCAAAGGAATTTAAAAATACTGTAAGGAGAAGTTCACGGCAACAATCGAATGATGAATTCGAACCTACGGCATTTAAAGTGTAAGTGTGAGCGGTAGAGCCACGCTGCAGCTGTATTATGGTTGTAGCATGAATGGGTCTGCTCGACCGGTGATGGAACAAGCTCTTAGAGAATACTAGCATAAAATAGCAGTTTAATGCTGTTGTAGTAGTGTTGTGTTTCGTACGGTGAGTGTAGATAACCGGATACCATTTTACTGGAAACGAGGCATTCCATCTTAGTCCTCACGGGTGATAATGCATTTTTATTCTTAGTCGAGGATAAATTAGGTAATGTAGGTCAAGTGGATCATCAGGTATGCTCGTTTGTGATCCTTATTCTATAAAAAAATATGTCGATAATGGCAGCGTAAAAGAAATCTCTACTTTATTCATCCCAAGGATGTTCGAAGAGCCGACAGAGGGAAACTGAAAAAGGAGATAGGTAGCAGCATCTTTCTCATAGCAGCTCAAAATAATAAAAAACCGCTGTTGCCAACCCGCCTGCCAAGCGTGGCAACTATGGTAAATATTTTTATTCATGTTTTTTTAAACGTTACCCCCACTAGGACCTCTTCTCCTGTACTTTTAGTGGAGGCAGTAAGTATACTTATATAAATTGCACAACGATAAACAGCCACACCCGAACCCGAAAACAGCGGATTCGAATCCGCGGCCCTCAGCGCAGCATCTTAATGCTAAGCTACTGTACAACTGAGCCGTCTGGTTGATAGTCTGCAATGAATGAATGAATGAATAAAATCAGATGACTGAAATATTTAAAACTATCTTGAGTTAGCGCTCAGTAGAAGTAGGTATAAATTTTGCGTTGCGATGAAGCAAAAAGAACTTTCAATATTTGACAGCTTCTTGGCGCAGTGGGTTAGCAATGAGTTGCGGCGCTGAGGGCCACATTTTCGCCCCCCACGTAACAAGTGTTTGTATGACCTACAAATAATTGTTCCGAGTCTGGATGTTTGCCCTCGTGCAATTTATGTATGTAGATAAACTGTCTCCACGATACAGGAGAAACCTGTAGTGTTTTGTTTTTAATAGGATATGGTGACAAACGAGCACACAGGCCACCTGATGGTAAGTGGTAGCTGTGACCCATAGACATCTACATCTATCCTCAATAAAGATTCAAAATGCAGATGAGTTGTCACCAATGAGGACTAAGATGGAATGCCTCTTTTCCAGTAAAAAGGGTCTCTGGTTCTCTACACTCACCATACGAAACACAGCAACATTAAGTTGCTATTTTACGCTGGTATTCTGTGAGAGCGTGGTCCTTCCCCGGTCGAGCCGACCCATACGTGTTACAACCATACTACTGATAGAGCTGCAGCATGGCTCTACCACGTATGAAAAAGTCTGTGGGTAGTTACGTTGTTTTGAAAATTTGAAATAAGAAAAAACTCAGTTTTGTATTCTATGTTTATCCATTCAAGCTTTCCATTACATGCGATAAAATTCCATTGCTGAACATAGGCCTATCCTATAGTTTGCATCATAGAGGGGATTTTGCTATAGTTGACATGCCTGGCGGACACAGCCGTCAATAATGTTTAGAATGTAATACTCCGTACAATGTGACTGACACGGCAGCTAACACATTAAATGATATTTCAATATGACTAAGCCCTAGAACTGCATAAAATTACTATAATCCAATAGTCAGCACTCTTCACAATCGATGAACAGCAAAACATCAAACGACGCCCTCAAAATCAAGAAAACGAAAGATCAAGAAGCCGACGACACCCCAGTCAACCCTCAGAACATATACTTCAATGATATACCTATAAGTAATTAGACATTCCTGGCGTTACCTGAGCCATATAACGCTAACGTAGCTATTTAATTTCGAAAGGGGATACGGCCCACCCCCACCGGTCCCTCCCACTTCCGCCCCAAGCCCCGCCTCTCGGGGGTGAAGTCAGATATACGACCTATGTTATCCGGCTCATGTAATTAATTCTATTCCGGGAAATTTCTCGTTGCCAGTCGAGCTTTATCGAAAGTGTATGTGTGCGTAAATGTGTCTGTGTGCTGCACGCATAGGTTTCCGCAATGATCGCTAAAATTATCATAATTTATAGCTTGCCGTCGCCTGATAGAATTAGTAAAAAAGTTTACGTGGTAGAGCCACGTTGAAACTAAGTATATTATGGTTGTAGCACGAATGGGTCGGCTCGACCGGGGAAGGACCACGCTCTCACAGAATACCAGCGTAAAATAGTAGCTTAATGGTACTGTATTTCACATGGTGAGTGTAGAGAACCGGATACCCTTTTTACTGGAAACGCGGCATTCCATCTTAGTCCTCAGGGGTGACAATTTTGCATTTTATTTCGCAAACGAAGATAGATGTAGATGTCTAGGGAACACAGTATCCACTTACCATCAGATGGACTGTGTGCTCGTTTGTCACCACCATTCTATAAAAAAAGTTCCGTTGGAAGCCACAACCTTTTAAATAAAACGTACTTTTTATGGATTTTATCGCGTATATTAACATGTATTCTATTCCCGACGTTTAGAGAACTTAACAGCACCCATGTTTACGGGGGGGAGTGAGGTGTTCGACGTCCCAATGCCATAGTTAACCACGGCTACCTTCTGAATAAAATTATTAATTTTTGGTCCAATCTACGCAGTATGAACTTATAGTAGGTACCTTTAAGTCATGCAGTTGTATGGTTCGGTTAGGTTTCTTGCATTTCTGTGAAGGTTTCGGGAAAGGCAGCATCCGCCGCGTGGGCTAAATTCGTGTTAGCCGTCTTAACATTTCCTTTTAAGGCTTGAGCTGAAGTCTACCGTGACCTTCGCATATCTATATAATATTTTTACATACATACATAATAATAAGTATAACTGTGACGGCTCCGTGGCGCAGTTGCTTAGCAGTGAGTTGCTGCGCTGGGGCCGCGGAACGCACGGAACAAGTATTTTTATGGCCAACAAATAATTGTTCCGGGTCTGGATGATTGTCCTCATGCAATTTATGTTTGTAAACTGCCTCCACGGCACAGGAGAAAATCCTAGTACGGGGGTAACGTTTTTTAAGAGAAAAAAAAATAAGAAAAAAAAATAAGAAAATTGTAAGCCATAACAATTTAGAGAAAGAAAAGTGCACCAAATCTGTTGTTTAATATGGGACCTTATCGCTACAAGCGATCTCTTCTAGCCAACCTTTGGATGAGTAGAAACTTAAAATACGTAAATAAAGACGGAGGTGCACATTAATAATTAGATAACAATAAATAACAATTATGATGTCATTTATATACACATAGTATAGGTAGATATCTACATATTTTCAGATAAAAATTCTACATAAAATACGCCATATATTTTTGTATAAGTAGATATAGTATACATCTATCCATCCATACATACACACATACATACATAAATGCAGTGCGTCACGCTTGTATAGGATATAGGAATTCCGGGATTCTAATCCACGAGGAGGTAGGCAGAGTCCGACTAATCGGACTTCGTTGAGCTAAAAATATGAATATGACGTAAAATTATAAAAGAAGTGGGTATTTAAATTAAGCTAACCCATCGCATACACAATCAAAAACCCAAAATCTTATTAACTGCAATTTATGACATGCTAGGCAAGTAATACAGCAGATTATTTTTCGTTAAAGTCCCACTTATACCAGGGACAATACCAAGGAGAAGGGATGCAAGTGGTTTTTTTTATAAGCGAGGGCCAAACGAGCATGCGGCTCACCTGATGGTAAGTGACTACCGCCGCCCATGAACAACTGCAACACCAGGACAATTGTAGATGCGTTGCCGGCCTTGGTCAGAGTCAAAGTCACGCTGCAGCTATATTATGCATGTAGCATGAATGGGTTGGCTCGACCGGAGCAGAACCACGTCCTCACAGAATACCAGCGTAAAATAGCAGCTTAACACTGATGTCTTTCGTATGGTGAGTGTAGAGAACCGGAGACCCTATTTACTGGAAAAGAGGCATTCCATCTTAGTCGTCACGAGTGTGAACGCATCTGCATTTTGATTCTTAATCGAGGATAAATGTACATGTCTATGGGTCATTTACTATCTGGTGGACTAGTGCTCGTTTGTTACCCTTATGGGACACACAAACATGGGAGAATAATATTAATCTAATATAAACTAAGCTTTTTCTGTTAGAATTTTCTTTTAAAGCGTTATGAAGGTTTTTTCAACCAGCTTATATATTACAGATTACAAGTATACTTATGAAAGCTTAAATAACTTTCATTAGTATATTTGTAATCTATATTGAATTAAAATTATTATATTCTGTTCTACACGGAAATATAAATAAAATTATTTAATATTTGTCTAGAATAAAATTTGTTTTGTTCAGGTCTATGAACTGGAGCGACGGTTCAAGCAACAGAAATATCTGTCAGCGCCAGAGCGGGAGCATCTAGCCTCACTCATCCACCTCACGCCAACGCAGGTAAGAGCCATGAATAGTTCAAATGATAATACATTTATCTCTATGTTTCCAAAATCCATAAAATTGCGGTACAAATTCTCGATTGGACTAACTCGTGACTTGTAATAATTTAGCTCAGATACTGGAAGTGGTAGATTCATCACATTTATTTAATTGTAAGACATATATATATATATATATAGGTAGTTTACAATACTAGTTTAACTTAACCTAAGTAAATTTTGTTTTTTAGTTACAAAGAGTAAACAATTACAAAACGATCTCAATATCTCCTTAGATAAAAAAGCAAAGAAATCTTTATTATAAGTGCCTCTTAAACTTGTAGCAGTAGGTACCTATTTTGTTTTATTATTTTGAACACATTATGACATCTTGTGTAAGCCGATATATCTGCATTTGATTTAGAAAATTAGTTTATTATTTTCAACATAGGTACTCTTAGAAAATCTATTATCAGATGTCTAAGTTCTTCTTCTAATAAATATTATATTGTTTATTAAATTCCGCTGTGTTTCTTGCTAGTTCTTCCCAGGACTGACATTTTTTTTCGAATCAGTGCAGTGGTAAAATTAAAAAATAACTTTCAATAACAATTACATGTAATCAATATTGAATAAAAATGATTCTATTCTATTGTATCGTTTCTGCTTTTACTGGGAAAAAAAGAAAACGTTGGCCCTTTCTGCAAGAAATTGGTTACGTTACCACGCTCGGTATAAATCCTGGCCTTGTTTTGTTTAATATCATAAATGAACCTTATTAATGTTTAACAATTCATATTGATAGAAAGAGACAGCAATAAACCATAGATCACTACAAATTACTACACCACAACACCCGCCACACGACCGCGTCAACCGCGTTAGGGCGTCACCACACGCCTCGGGCGAGTGTCACCGGCATAGACAACATAAATCACTGCACAATAACGCCGCCGCGGGCTATGACCGGGGCATCCCCCATTAACTGGATCCAATTACCGAATACAAAACGCCTACGAAGGGGCGCGAATGCCTAAGGCAACCGTGTTTTACAACTTCCGTATATTGCTTTAACTGGTAAGGCAATAAATATAACAAGTGAATGCTATTCCCTCTTAAATAAATAATATTGGGGCTTTAACTTCGGTTAATAATGTAGAAAAATTTGATTTGGGTTCGAATCCCGCACGGAACACGTATTTGTATGGCCTACGAATAATTGTTCCGGGTCTGGATGTTTGTCCTTGTGCAATATATGTTTGTAAACTACATACCACGATACAGGAGAAAATCCTAGTGTGGGGGGTAACGCTTTTTTTAAAGAAAGAAAGAAAGAAAGAAAGAAAAGAAATATTCTAAGTTTAGTAAGGGTTTCTGAAGGGTAAAGAGAGCCAGTATCATTACAGGATGTGACGCTTGCCATCTTAGTGCTCAAAACTCCTTTGTTCTTAAAACGATGCATCTGGAGCCTTATTTGTTTGAAACTGTTTGCTATCTATGGGCTGGTAGCCACTTACCATCAAGCGGACTGTTGTTCTTTCTTTATAGTACAAATAAGGGTGACAAACGAGCGCACAGTCCACCTGATGGTAAGTGGATGCGGTGGTCCATAGACATCTACATACATCCTCGGTTAAGAATCAAAATTTAGATGCGTTGTCACTCCTGAGGACTAAAATGGAATGCCTCGTTTCCAGTAAAAAGGGTCCCCGGTTCTCTACATTAACTATACGAAACACAGCAGCGTAGGGCTGCTATTTTACACTGGTATTCTGTGAGAGCGTGGTCCTTCCCCAGTCAAGCCGACTCATTCGTGCTACAACCGTAATATAGCTGCAGCGTGGTTCTACCACGTGTAAAACGTGTGTTCAACTTGGGAGAGCCAATTTTCAAACTTACAACCCCTTATGATGGTAGACTAAGCTGAGCTTAAGCTCATAGACCTTAAACAAAGATTAAACAGAACAGTAGGTATCAGGAGATCATAAATAATAAATTAATATGCCAGCAGATTTATTTTGCGTTGGCCTCATAATGAATCTCAGAAATACTTTCGTTCCTTAATTTTAACGTCATCCGTGAGGAAAAACTGGATGAATTATTTAAAGCTATTCAAGATTTTAATCTAACAGTAAGTACCTATACTTTATATGTTAACAAATTTTTAAGTTATATTAAAGATTTGTAATATTTTATACCCATGTAATGAAAAACTCGACAAAGGTCGAGTCGGATTCGCTTATGTAAAACACGTTTCTAGTGGGGGAGCCCCATTTAATTTTTTATTTATTTTCATATTTATTATTTGTTGTTATAATGGCAACAGTAAGTAAGTAAGTGGACAGTTAAATTTTCACAGAATGTGTATTTACTGTCTACTTATTACGGATCATGAGATACAGCCCGCTGACAGACAGACAGACGGACGGACAGCGGAGGTTTAGTAATAGGGTCCCACCCATAGGTTGCCCTCCGTATACCTTCGCGTGCGGAACCCCAAAATACTCTCATTATGTATATTTTCTAAAATAATGTTACTAGGCGAGAAGATGCAAATATCGTTTTTGGCACCATACCGCCGTAGGTTAGGGCTATATGATGATTTAAGCGTTGAGGTTTGAATAATTATTAAAACATGTAGTGCTTTTTAAAAGAGAATGTAAAATATCAAAATTATCGTTTTGAAATCAAGTAAATCAACAAATATCTGCACGTATGTAGTCGCACATTGCGGAAAAACTGTTTGTGATTAGTGGAATCGCCCCAGGTTAGCTCGTTAGAGCCGGCATCTTGTTTCACGCTATAGCGACGTCACTAGTGGATCGAGGGACGCTTTGATTCTCGAGAGACGCTAGAAAATTTCACTTGTTTGAATTTTTTCGAGTGCTGTCTTCAAATTAGTGAGTGTACTTTGATAACGGTTCGGAAATAACACGGGCTCTTCGGAGCGCAGGATGTGGTTGTTTGGTGGATTGATCTGTGTAAAGAATTTCGGGATTGTCCGGGATATTTTTATTTACTTTTTAAGATTCTTATTGGAAGTTTGAATTTTAGAAGTAGAAATGAGAAGTGTTTTCATTAAAAACGAAACCCTCTAGCGCTTCTCCAACAACGAGCTTTGGCGGGAATTGGACCACACTGGTAGATTTCTGTTTTATCATTAAATAATGGTTTGGATCTTGATTAAAAAATTGGTGCGTTTTATGAAGTGAAATTTAAACGATAGTCAGGTGAGTTGGTAGATAAACGCAGATAGATTAGATTGCGAAACATGGGTATTACGTTTTGGAATTATTGTACCATCTTCTATCGGTCAGGAAATCGTCGCTCGTTGAAGATCAAACACTAAGAGAACAAGCGTTTTTACGTGGTAGAGCCATGCTGCAGCTATATTAGTAGTATAGTTGTAGCACGAATGGGTCGGCTCGACAGGGGAAGGATCACGCACTCACAGTATACCTACCAGCGTAAAATAGCAGCTTAATGCTGCTGTGTTTCGTATGGTGAGTGTAGAGAACCGGAGACCCTTTTTACTGGAAAGCAGGCATTCCATCTTAGTCCTCACGGGTGACAACACATCTGCATTTTGTTTTTTTAGGATAGGTTAGGAGGATAGATTTAGATGTCTATGGGTCACAGCAACCACTTACCATCAGGTGGACTGTATTCTCGTTTGTCACCCTCTCCTATAAAAAAAGTTCAAGCTCTTCAGCTCAACTCACCCCTGTTACTTGGAATGGTACTTCTCACTGCTGTGCACAGGCCTTCGCTATAAACATTGAGCTATTACGTACTATATTACTTCAATGGCTATATCTAAAGCGATTTGTCCGTCGCGTTTCTCCAGTGCGTGTTAGCGGATTTAAAGTGTTCTAAATGTTTTATTCCTCAGACGTGCAGGTTTCCTCACGATGTTTCCTTTCACATACACAATACACTTACACATACATGTTTTACATTAAATAAATGATTATGTTGTCCTTACATAATATGGAGATAAGTTTATGTAGTATACCTATAGTTCAAGTTATATGTTATGTAGTTTATGTTATATATTATTGTTATAGAAAACATCTTCTTAAGCATATTTTCAGTTTGAGATTTTATTGTAAGCAATTTAAATTAAATAAAAATATATTCAATATATAATAACTTACTCCTTTTTGAAAAGCCGGCAACGCACCTGCAATTCCCTTGGTGTTGCAGTTGTTCATGGGCGGCGGTATTCACTTACCATCAGGTGAGCCGTATGCTCGTTTGCCCCCTCTCCTATAAAAAAAAATATTAAAAAAAATCTTTTATAGTTTCTTTTTATTTATGGTATTTTTAATTGATTTAAATTATTTTTTAAAATGTAATATATTAAAATAGCTTATTTGACAAATGTGCAGACTCGTAAACAAACCGTCCACAAGTTCCATTATTAATATCTGTCATAGGCACACGACCCATTTTCCCACACCGGGGCGCGCGTAAATTCAAATCCTTCATAACAAAGACTCGATAATCTCGGCCGTGTCAATATAAATTTCATAAACTCGCTGTATAACCCCAACAAAGGGCCGCAAACATCCATGAATAATCTCCATTTTGAGGGTGTCAACACCATTTACGACGGAGCGTTTGAATTCGCGCCAAAACAAACGTCAAACTGACGCGACGGGAAACAATGGAGGTACGTTTACCATACGACGTCACGATTTCGGATAGGGTTATAAACGTTTTTAATTACGAATCACATAAATAAAGTTATTTATGGGACATTGGTGTTTCTAATGACATATGGATCACTGAAACCAACTGTTAATATGTTTGATACTCACTTCTACTTTTTTCATATTTCCTATCAACAAATTCTTGACTCCATTAACAACACATCTTTAATAATAGTAATTCTATTAAGTTTAAGCGTTTCGCTAATTTAATGGTTATAATATAATCCTACGTGGCAATACTCATTAATTGTTACCTAGTACAGTTATCCATCAAGGGTTTCTATGATTCGAGTCCAGATCAATT